AAACCCCTGTACTAACACTCAAAAGTTCAAACAGATTAAATGCACTTCAAATGTGGAGAGCAGACAACGCTTTGTCATAAATTTACCAACAGCCTGGACCGCCTTCAGTTTACACAAGTATTAAGTGATTGACTTACAAGATAGGCGGTAGAAAATAAAAGTTTACGACAACATCTTTACGTGAATTCTTAATGTTCCCCTACACACTGACCTACATACACATACTCAAGTACACCACACACGTTAAAACGCACACACAAACATATACATATAAAACATTGGCTATATATTTTTTTAATTTATGTATTTTTATACATGCATTTTTTATTGATGTATTGATAAGTATTACGGCTGGTAGGTTATGTTTATTTTCCCTATGGAACAATTGTTTCAAGGTATTTTTTTAAAAAGTATTTTCAAATATTTACCTTTATAATGTTGTTTGCTTAGTCCCTGAAATGTAATATTGCATACAACAAAGAATGTAAGATCCCCAACACCTGGTTTGTCAGAAGAGGCGTAGAGAAGGTGATGCAGAGGGGGCGATCCGCAACCGAGCTACACGGTTTTTCTTTAAATGGAGGGGCGACATGTTCGCTCATCCACTGACATTTTTTCGTGGAATTTCTGGTAGCAGAGATCTTGGCCCACCCAGGGGGACACTTAACCAAAATACCCCACTTAATTGTCGAGATGCAATCATTTGATGATTACCATATATTAACTTTAAAAATCTAAACTCTTTTCACAAACATCCAGGCTTCTGTGATACTGTGTTGAGAGTGTACGAGGGTTGGCATATCGGGCGGATAAGGGACACTTAGCTCTAAGGGGAATAGATGTTCGAGGGCACCGTCAAATGTTGCATCCTGTTAATGAGAAATGAAGGAAATGAGTAAAACAAAATATGTTCAAATCTGAAAAAAGGAACGCAACAAAACAACAAACATGTCGGCAAGAGGTCTTCGTCAGCGAAAAAACATCAGATTTTTTTTTTCTATAAATGTATCACTTATGATCTGAGAAGTAGCATCCGAGAGGGCAGCAAAAGAATTGTGACAGAAAATTTCTAGTTGAAAAACCTAAAACCTAATAACCTAGTGCAGCTTATGTTTGTGAGCAAATATGTTCAAAAAAGAAGAACGTGAAGTAACTACAATGAACGATTTTGGCTGATGAACATTTGAAAGCGATTCTCTTGATTGGATGCAGCAATTCCAAACCAAACATTGATTAAATCTTGAAAGCCAAACGTCAGTTTCATAAAATCTCTCTAACCTTTATTTGCTGCTTAGTTTGTAAGACTCGGATATGTGCGCGTTAGGTTTGATGTAACTATCTTTTTGTTAACGTAGCCTCCTTTCATAACTTTTTTAGTAAAAGAATCATTTGGTTGTCTTATTTTTTTCAGCATTGCACGGCACTCTCCGTTGATTAACAAGGGATACTAAACGTATTAAAGACAGACAAATCGTAGAAATCTTAGAGACTAGCAATATGTTCATCATTTGATAAGATTCTTTCCGGGAACAAAATAAAATGTCAAAGTTTCAGATTTTTGTTGGATTATCGGTCATTTTTTCTTGGCTGATTTCTTGTCAACAGCCGAAACGAATTACAGTAAAATGCCAAGTTGCTGAAATCATTAATAACATCATTGGGAATCTAATACCGATCATTGGGAATCTAATACCAATCATTGGGATTCTAATACCTAATACCGATCATTGGGAATCTAATACCAATCATTGGGATTCTAATACCAATCATTGGGAAGCTAATACCTATCACTGAGAAGCAAATACCAATCACTGGGAAGCTAATACCTATCATTGGGAAGGTACCAATCAAAGAAAAGCCAATGACAATTATTGGGAATCAGTTACACATAATTGGGAAGCATATACCAATCATTAGGAGGCTAATACCAATTATTTGGAAGCTAATGCCAATCATTTGAAAGCCACTAACAATCATTGGGACGCCAATACCAATCATTGGCACTCTAATAACAATCATTGGAAAGCTAATACCACTTGACCACCCCCAACTATTGGGGGAAGAAGGTCATTTACCACTTGACCACCCCAACCTTTGGGGAAAAGAGATCATTTACCACATGACCTCCCCAACAGTTGGGGGAATGAGATCATTAACCACTTTACCGCTTGTGGGTGGAAATGATTTTCACTTTAACTCCTCATCGGTTGGAGGAAAGATATCACTTATCCCATGACCACTCCATCCATTGGAGAAAGGAGTTTATTTACCAATTTTAACCCCAACTTTTGACGGAAGTAGATCATTTAACATTTGACCACCAGAACCTTGGGGAGAATGAGATCATTTAACATTTGACCACCAGAACCTTGGGGAGAATGAGATCATTTAACATTTGACCACCAGAACCTTGGGGAGAATGAGATCATTTAACATTTGACCACCAGAACCTTGTGGAGAATGAGATCATTTAACATTTGACCACCAGAACCTTGGGGAGAATGAGATCATTTAACATTTGACCACCAGAACCTTAGGGAGAATGAGATCATTTAACATTTGACCACCAGAACCTTGGGGAGAATGAGATCATTTAACATTTGACCACCAGAACCTTGGGGAGAATGAGATCATTTAACATTTGACCACCAGAACCTTGGTGAGAATGAGATCATTTAACACTTTACCACCCCACCCTATTTGGGGAAGAAGATTATTTACCACATGACCTTCCCAAAAGTTGGGGGAAGGAGATTATTTACCACCTCAGCCATTGGGTAATGAGATCATTTACCACTTTACCAACCGAGGGTTGAGGGAAGAAGACCTTTAATCACTTTACCATCCCAGCAGTTGGGTTAAGAAGATCTATAATCACTTTACCATCCCAGCAGTTGGGTTAAGAAGATCTATAATCACTTTACCATCCCAGCAGTTGGGTTAAGAAGATTTATAATCACTTTACCATCCCAGCAGTTGGGTTAAGAAGATCTATAATCACTTTACCATCCCAGCAGTTGGGTTCAGAAGATCTATAATCACTTTACCATCCCAGCAGTTGGGTTAAGAAGATCTATAATCACTTTACCATCCCAGCAGTTGGGTTAAGAAGATCTATAATCACTTTACCATCCCAGCAGTTGGGTTAAGAAGATCTATAATCACTTTACCATCCCAGCAGTTTGGTTAAGAAGATCATTTACCACTTTACGGCCCCAACCATTTGGGGAAGGAGATTATTTACAATGTTACCACCCCAGCCGGTGTGGGAACTAGATTATTTATGACTTGCCGAACACTAATATTGAGGGAAGGAGATTATTTACCACTAGACCACCCTAACCATTTTGGGAAGCAGATCATTTAACTCTTTTCAACAAGGAACCGTTTGGGGAAGGAGAACATTGCTCAAATTTTCAGCCCAACTGCCAACTTTCTGGAATAGGAGTATATTTCATAGAAAGTAGATTTCTTTACAATTTGTTTGAACATTGGTGAGACAAAATTAATTAAACTCCACCTATAAGACAACACTGCCACCTTAACAGCCACTTATGCCAAATCGTCACAAAAATAACAAAGACCACACACCAGAGATAAAATGGTATGGTGTATTCAGTCAGTAATCTCATATTAAAATTGCATGAATTTCAATTGCTTCTACGATATGTGTGTGAGAAAATTTATTTAAAAATTCTTTGTGCACATACTATGATGCATCTAATTCTATTTTAAAAAATCCAGCCTTATTTTCATCAATTGGAAAAAAATGTTAAAGAACAATATTTGTGGATTGACACGCAGGTAATTATGATATTTAAATGATACATTGTAGGATTATAACTGAACAGTTCATTTCGACAGTCTTTTGTTTGAAAAAAAAAAATTATTATAATGTAATTTTTTTTTAAAACTTGTTTTCATAATAATGTCAATCCATTTTAACTAAATTATTATCATTAAATTATGCTTAATTTTTCTGCAAACCCAATTACTAATTAACAGAATTACAATAAGAACCTTTTACCTTGTAAAGAGACTTCTGTGTTGATTAGCTTTGTGAGTTTTGTCTTCAAGTGACTTATATTACACATGTATTATAGATGATATTAATTTTTTACCAGAGCATTGTGAGATAATATCTAGTAGCCTAACCAGGGCCGGCTCAAGGCGGATATCATCAAACACGGCAAAATTTGTTAAAATAAAAAAAATAAAAAAAAAAAAATAAAAAATTAAAATTCTGAATTCTTCCCACAATTTTCCAGAGGGCAACAATTTCCTATTTTCACCCAATCTAAAAACCAGGGGCATTAATTCAAGCCNCCCGGATTGATTGGATAAAAAAAAAATTAAAAAAAAAAAGACAAAAAATTGATTAAAGAAAAAAGAAAATAAAGAGAAAGTAACTAAGCTGATTTCCTGTCCTTTCGTTCACCATAAAAAAACGCTAAAGTAAATTAAAACTATATTAAAACATTACTAAAAATTGTTTGCCCCCCCCCCTGGAAAGTTAATCGATTTTTTGCCGCCCCCCCCCCCCTAGAATGTTTTCTGCGGGCGCCCATGATTCAACCTATTATTGCATTAATTATAAATATAAAAAAATGTAAACCCTTTTAAAATGTAAAATCATATTTATATAGCTCATATAAGGAGAATGGTATAGGAGCGCATACGGGATTTTCGTAGGCCTACTGACATTAATTTACACATATTGATCATCTTGGGTCTTGGGAAATTTTTGACGAAATCTTGGGAATTTTTTAAAAATTAAATGGCAGCCCTGGTAACGCCTCGCTTTTAGAAAAATGAGAAGATAACTCTTAAATTGTTATATACTCGGACCCGATCTCAATTTTTTTCCGGGTGTCATTTCCCCCCCCCCCCCCTCCGAAGACCGCTGCCTGAAATAAACACTGGTCTCCAATGGTGTAGGAAAACGATGGGGGTATCTAATCCTAGTTACGCCACTGCTTGGCTGGAAGATTAAATGCATGATTTTAATCAGACTTAAATGATCTGGGGTCATTTTGTCGCCGCCGGAAGTACTATTTATTATCTTATTTTAAGTATAAATTATTGTAAACTCATATTTTTATTATCGCAAGATAGCAATTTTATGTGGAAAAGAAATTGGAACCATGAAAAAAATGAATACTCTTCGAAATAGTGAACACGATTCCGTGGACCTTCTTTTGAAAGATATTTTTGCATGGGCAGATTGTAACATTAGCAATGGCAATAGCAATTACAAGTTGCCTAGGCCTAGGCGCCCTAGGCCTAGACATTCACAATTATTTGTTGAAACTTTTCTCAAGAAAATGACGCACCATCTTGGTCAACATTCAATACCTGCTTTGGATTACATGAATGGAAATGAATTTAATACAAAAATAGAGAAAAAATCATTAAATTCAATTACTTCAGTAAAATGTTTCTTTTTCGCAACATTCATATGGACAATAGTTTTATTGCTGCTGTGCCTCTGCTTTGTGATTGTTGTTTCACTATCACTAATTTGTGTGATTCAGACTGGGTATGAAGAAAAAGAAAGCTTTTTTTTATCAGTTCAAGTTCTAAATTACATTTTAAGGCCCATCACTTCAAAAGAATTCAATATTTCTTCTCACTTGATGAATCTAAATTCCTATCTAATGAGACTGTTTAGACTAATATCACTTAATTTTAAATTCAACAAATGGATGGAGCCATACCCCTTGCGAGGTTTAGATGACAGAGGTAAGTCTGCTTAATTGTTTTTTGCTTTTTTTTAAAACTAGTTTATTTTACTATTATAAACATATTATTACAGGACCCGTACAGTTTTTATACAATACATGTCAATACAAAAAAACCTTAATAAACTGTTACAAAAATTTTACAAAATTAAACAGAAGCATGTCATGATCATTTGGTCAATGTAAATAATTTATTAATTATAATTAGTTAGAAGTTTTTTTTTATCCTATATTATATAACTATAAAGATATTTTTTAAAAAAATAAAACAACTCAACCTCTGATCACCCAAGTCTAATGTTCCTTCCATGCATGCCTGGACATCTAATGTGCAGGTTTTGCACAAGAGAGGAATATTTATCACTAAAAAATGTTCATCAAACCACAATGGGGTGATCTTATATAGGCCTATCTTATAACTACCTCTGGCATTTAATTAAACAATAGCAAAACTATTTTTGGTGCTTGCATTGACTAATAAGTCTTATTCCAAAAATAACTTATTTCTTGCTCCCAAATCCATCCTCGCACTCATCTCCCCCTCCGCCCAAAATGTTAACACAAAACAAAAATGGATACATATCTCTCAACACCAACTGTATGAAGAGTGGCAGGCAGGATTAAACAAATGCCATTTTTGTGTCTATCATGCAGTTGTGCTATTGTTTAATTAAATGCCAGAGGTAGTTACTGTTCTTTTTAAGTTTCACAAAACCCTAAATAAACTTCTATCTTTGTTTTTTAGAATTTTTTTTGCTATTCTGTATTATTGCTTTTGTTGTCCATAACTGGATCGCAACCTGGTATTTGGTAAATGCTGCTATACACTAAACTAATTTACATATAACCAATCTGCTGTTGGCAAAACCCATCATTATAGTATGCACCAACTTGAAGTATCAACAAATGTAAAAATTGTTGTGATTCTTATGACACATTAAACTATATACATATACAAATCTTTTGAAATTTCAGTTCCCAGAAACATTATGTGTGCAGTAAGCAATCCACTTTATGTCAGCTTTCTTGAATACATGTGTACTATGTGTGATGGTATAGAGTACATATTGACTCCAAAATTTGGAACAAAGCCGCAGGCATTATCCCAAGACCTTTTCATAACTGATTGGCCTGTCATTTTTAGGGTAAGAAATCATTAGTCCAGTTTAACACCAAATACCTTTTAATATAAGTTTTAATAGTGTTTGTGTTTATTGAAAGCTTGGGCAGACCTATAATTTCTCCAAATGTGGGAATATTTATTTATTATATGACTATATACCTAACATTTTAGCTTTGTCCCATTGTTGAATTATTTGGTTTGCATTTAAAGCACTCAAAAGGAAGAGAGAAGTGGTGCCCATCACCACCACTGAGTTTCCTTGGATCTGCCTGTCAATAAAAATGTATTATGATAATTGTTGAGTTGTGCAGATTTTTTCCTTGACATTCTTGTCCCTATTAGTATTGGAATTATAATAACTTATATATAATGAGTTAAAATGTCTAACTCATTTTACAGCTTTTTCCCTATGCTTACAGTCTCATTTTCTATGCTTACTGACTCATTTCTAATCTTACAGTCTAATTTCCTTGGATTACTGTCTCATTTCCTTGACTTACTGTCTCAGTTCCTTAGCTTACTGTCTTATTTCCTATTCTAACAGACTGTCTTATTTCTTATGCTTACAGTCTCATCTCTTTGGCTTACTGTCTTATTTCCTTGGCTTACTGTCTCATTTCCTATTCTAACAGACTGTCTCATTTCTTATACTTACTGTCTCATTTCCTATGAATACGGTCTCATTTCCTATTCTAACAGACTGTCTCATTTCCTGTTGCTTACTGTCTAATTTCCTATGCTTATTGTCTCATTTCATTGGCTTACAATCTCATTTCCTATGCTTGAACGTTTGTTTAAATTATATATAGATCTGTTCATTGTATCTATTGATGCTATTTTACAGGGTTGGGCAAACAAAGTGAGTCTACAGGAGCTTAGAGTTTCTATAGCTGAAAATAGCAAGATCCTACAACTAGAAGGGTTTGCCACTAACTTCATTTCCAGTCTGGAATACTTGACAAAGATTGAACATTTGGGAAATGAAAAAGTTATCTTTAGACTGCAAGCAGATGAATTTACTCATGTCATTTGGTAAGATAATTGGTTGGTCCATTTTGATGATAATGACTGCATTAAGCAAAGATTAAATTAAAATACCTGTATACATTCATTTTGTCTCTATGATTTGCATTAAAAAAATTATTACCTGTCACCACCTGTACTGAAATTACTTAGTATAAATTTTGTGAAATTTATAATCTTTTTTGTTTCAAAGTTCCAAGCTTGAATTCTAGGATTTAAACTGTTCTCTTGATGCTTGGGTCTATTGTTGGTATTCTCTTGATGCTTGGGTCTATTATTGGTATTTTCTTAATGCTTGGAGTCTATTCTTGGTATTCTCTTGATGCTTGGTTCTATTGTTGTTATTTTCTTGATGCTTGGGTCTATTGTTGGTATTTTCTTGATGCTTGGGTCTATTGTTGGTATTCTCTTGATGCTTGGTTCTATTGTTGGTATTTTCTTAATGCTTTGGTCTATTGTTGGAATTCTCTTTATGTGTGGGCCTATTGTTGGTTTTCCCTAAATGCTTGGATCTATTGTTGGTATTTTCTTGATGCTTGGGTCTATTGTTGGTATTCTCTTGATGCTTGGGTCTATTATTGGTATTTTCTTGATGTTTGGGTCTATTCTTGGTATTTTCTTGATGCTTGGGTCTATTCGTTGGGGTTACAAGAAATTTGATTGAAAGAAATTTCTTTGACGGTAAATTGATGGACGGAAATTTGAACAAACAGAAATTTGTTCGAATCTTATTTTCACACGTTAAAATTTTTGTCAAATTTCTTTTTTGAACGCACTATATTATATAGTAAAACAAAATAATGCGTTCACAACGAAATTTCAAGCAATATTTTAAAAGAAAAAAATATTTGACCAAATTTCCGTTTAATCAAATTACCGTCGATCACTTTACCGTCGTCGAAATTTCTTTCAATCAAATTTCCAGATATGCTAGTGTTGGTATTCTCTTGATACTTGAGTCTATTCTTGGTATTCTCTTAATGCTTGGGTCTATTCTTAGTATTCTCTTGATGCTTGGGTCTATTTTTGGTATTTTCTTAATGTTTGGGTCTATTCTTGGTATTCTCTTGATGCTTGGGTCTATTTTTGGTATTTTCTTAATGTTTGGGTCTATTCTTAGTATTCTCTTGATGCTTGGGTCTACTTTTGGTATTTTCTTAATGTTTGGGTCTATTTTTGGTATTTTCTTAATGTTTGGGTCTATTCTTGGTATTCTCTTGATGCTTGGGTCTATTTTTGGTATTTTCTTAATGTTTGGGTCTATTCTTGGTATTCTCTTGATGCTTGGGTCTATTCTTGGTATTCTCTTGATGCTTTGGTCTATTGTTGGTATTCTCTTTATGTGATGGCCTATTTGTTGGTATTCTCTTAATGCTTGGGTCTATTGTTGGTATTCTCTTGATGCTTGGGTATAACCTTGGTATTCTCTTGATGCTCGGGTCTATTGTTGGTATTCTCTTGATGCTTGGGTCTATTATTAATATTCTTTTGCATTGTATGAGGGACTTAATCCAAAGTCTGAACGTATTTGTGCATTGTATGAGGGACTTAATCCAAAGTCTGAACGTATTTGTGCATTGTATGAGGGACTTAATCCAAAGTCTGAACGTATGGTCCAAGAAATGTCTTGTTATCCAAAATTCAAAAATCCCCCCCCCCAATTAATTCTTATTGCAGTTACATGTGTTTTCACCATAATTACGTAATAATGTCATTATAATTACATGTGGCAATGCTTACTTCAGTTACAAGTCTATTGAATTTGATTTTTTAATGAAATGTGGCCATTAGAGGCTTCATGTCCACATTGGGGGGCTAAATGGTTACATTGTGGGGGCTACATGGCAACGTTGTGGGGGCTACATGGTGACATTTTGGGGGCTACATGGCCACATGGGGGGGCTACATGGGGGGGGGCTACATGGCAACATTGGGAGGGCTACATGGCAACATTGTGGGGGCTACATGGCCACATGGGGGAGCTACATGGCCACATGGAGGGCTACATGGCAATATGGTGGGGCTACATGGCAACATTGTGGGGGCTACATGACCACATTGTGNGTGGGGGGGGGGGGGGTGGCTGCATGGTCAGATTGTCAGGGCTTTATGGCCACATTGGGGGGACTTCATAGCCACATTTCTGGGCTTCATGATCAAATTTTGAGGGCTGCATGATCACACTGGGGGCTTCATGGCCACATTGGGAGGCTTTGTGACCATATTGGGAGACTACATGGTCACATTCTCAGGGCTTCATGACAACATTTGTGGGATTACACTTCATGATCACATTGTGAGGACTTGATGGCCACATTAAAAGGGGGGGGGGGTGTTAATGTCCACATTTTGGGAGCTTAATAGCCACATTGCTAAAAACAAAAGTAATTATGTAGATTTGTATAAAACTTTTTTTACTAAATTTGTTTACAGGACATCTGAGCACTATAGAACTTCTTATATCTTAAGGAAATTGTTTCCACGTCCTCAACTAATTCCACAAGATACTCCTGTATCTCTAAGAAGCATTTTACTTGTGAATGGTCAAAGTGCTCCATCATTTAGAATGGTAAGACATTTGTGGTGAAATTTATTCAATGTTGGAAAGTGCTGGCACATTTTTATTGAAGTATTTTACTATTTAATTCAATCAAACTATTAATACATTAAGTTTCCTCATTCTCACACACAAAATACTGAGAGGAATCACATTGACAACTTGATGTAAGGAAGTATACCTAAGAGGAATCAGATTGACAACTTGATGTTAGGAAGTATACCTAAGAGGAATCAGATTGACAATTTTTTAGAAGTATACATGGGATGAATGATTGACAACATGATGAAAGAAAGTATACAGTAGAGGAATCACATTGGCAACTTGCTAGAAAGTGTACATGTCATGTGATGAAAACTAACTAGAAAGTGTACATGCCATGTGATGAAAACTAACTAGAAAGTGTACATGTCATGTGATGAAAACTAACTAGAAAGTGTACATGCCATGTGATGAAAACTAACTAGAAAGTGTATATGCCATGTGATGAAAACTAACTAGAAAGTGAACATGTCATGTGATGAAAACTAACTAGAAAGTGTACATGTCATGTGATGAAAACTAACTAGAAAGTGTACATGCCATGTGATGAAAACTAACTAGAAAGTGTATATGCCATGTGATGAAAACTAACTAGAAAGTGTACATGTCATGTGATGAAAACTAACTAGAAAGTGTACATGTCATGTGATGAAAACTAACTAGAAAGTGTACATGCCATGTGATGAAAACTAACTAGAAAGTGTACATGCCATGTGATGAAAACTAACTAGAAAGTGTACATGCCATGTGATGAAAACTAACTAGAAAGTGTACATGCCATGTGATGAAAACTAACTAGAAAGTGTACATGCCATGTGATGAAAACTAACTAGAAAGTGTACATGCCATGTGATGAAAACTTGCAAGAAAGTGTACATGCCATGTGATGAAAACTTGCAAGAAAGTGTACATGCCATGTGATGAAAACTTGCTAGAAAGTGTACATGCCATGTGATGAAAACTTGCTAGAAAGTGTACATGCCATGTGATGAAAACTTGCTAGAAAGTGTACATGCCATGTGATGAAAACTTGCTAGAGAGTGTACATGCCATGTGATAGAATGTTCACATATTTTTAACTTGTGTACTTCTTGTACAGAATTTGGTTTGTGGTTTTCCATCTTTTTATTGAAAGCATGCAAAATAGTGCCATAAATAGTGTCTTCCATAAGAACCACTGTGTTATTCTTTTTGTTAATCAGTGTTGTTGAAAAAGAAGCTTAAAACCATTAGTCAGTGCAAGCGGACCTTTGAATATTGCTGTATCTTAAAATCCATTGGTCCGTGCAAATTAATCTTTGACTAGTGCAGTATCTTAAAATGACAATTTGTCACAGCCAAAAGCGATGAATTAAAAAGTGCTAGAAAGCATCACTAGAACAATTTCACAGACTTAATGTCTTATATCTACTTTTGAACCTTTCATTCACACTCTTAAAAACTTAGATCTACATATAAACCTATCAATGTCTTAAGAATTGATCCCCAGAAGTGGCTTTGAGAATGTTTTAGTCCTTAAATAGAACACAGCCCTAAAATCAACTCCATCTTAAACAATTTCTTATCTCTGCAGCCTGTTGGTAGGAAAGGGTTAATGCTGTATACACAGAGTAGTGGATCAAGATATCTTGTGCTGAAGCCAAAGGAACATTGTATTACTGCATGTCAAACACTCACTGCTAGACTTACAGCCGGTGATATCAGTAAGTTAGAAAGAGAAACAATTTTTCATTGTAAAAAAATTTAATTGACCTGGCTTTACACATCATTTAAAATAATAAAATCTTTATTTATTCCGTTCATCAATAGTACCAATTCAGCTTACAATTTTTTTTAAAAAGTGGTCCATTTCAACTTAGAATTTAATTCTAAATTGCCTTCGGAATTTGCTAAACATTTAAATTTAGGGTGGAGTGCTTTTTTTCTGGTTGATCATTATCCCAAATGTCATTTATATATGGTGAACGATCTTTCTCTTTCTGCGCCCCCAAACAATGGAATTCTTTGCCACTACACATCCGCAATATAACAACCACACAGGCCTTTAAAACTGCACTCAAAACACATCTATTTAAACTATACTACTCTGACTGATTCTCCTCCTATAAACCGATAAACGTACCTGGGTTTCCTTGTAAAAATGTCTGGTGTGGGTGGATGAATATACCTATGGTGTTGTTTTGCTTATATGTTGTTTTTATTTCATTTATGTATTTTATTTTAATATTATGATTATGCCTCTTTGCTATATTTATGTACAGCGCGGTGAGCCCAGCCCTAGGCCGGGGTACCGCGCTATATAAGACCACTTATTATTATTATTCATTTATGTATTTTATTTTAATATTATGATTATGCCTCTTTGCTATATTTATGTACAGCGCGGTGAGCCCAGCCCTAGGCCGGGGTACCGCGCTATATAAGACCACTTATTATTATTATTATTATTATTTCATTTAGGGTAGAGTGTCTATTTTCTGATTGATCATTATCCCAAATGTCATTTCATTTAAGGTAGAGTGTCTATTTTCTGATTGATCTATCATTGCAAATGTCAGTGGATTTAGGGTAGGTTTCAATTGTCCTGAGCTTAATAACTTCCACAAGTTGGGATCTTCTTTCTTTTCACATGAAAACTCCAGCAGTAGGAAGGTTTACTGAGGGCAGTGGACTCCTTATTGTCGAGGTGTTACAATCACAATATAAATCACAAACACCAGTGTTACAATCACAACATCAATCACAAATGCCAGTGTTACAATCTCGATATTACCACAGTTCAAAAGCTTCGCTCTCTAGGGGGTAATTCAATTACTTAACAAACCATTGATTCATGTCAAATGTCTCTTATATTAAGCAAACAACTCTGAAATTCTAACAGTCCAATATATCACTACTCCATCACTGCTATCCAAAACCATAAAATATCACAATGTCATTTTCCATACTCAAATATGTCACAAAAACCCAAACACATAGAAACAGTTTAACAAATACTCTCAATACCCAACATCCATGCACAAAAGAACGAACTAATCATTAACATTGACCATTTTCAAGAACATTGACCAAGTTCATTTACATTGATTAAATCTATTAACATTGACTAAGTTCATTCAATTATTAGGTCAAATTGATTTTTAGATATATTGATAACACTATGTTTTCCAGGAGCACTAAGCTTTCAAAATGTCTTCAACAAAAATTATAGCAACAAAGTTTCTACATTAATCTCAACAGCAAAACATGTTCACTAAAACAAACCAACCATACCAATACAACATGTTCACTAAACAAACAAACCATTCCAATCAAACATGTTCACCAAACAAACCAACCATTCCAATCAAACATGTTCACTAAACAAACCAACCATTCCAATCAAACATGTTCACCAAACAAACCAACCATTCCAATCAAACATGTTCACTAAACAAACCAACCATTCCAATCAAACATGTTCACTAAACAAACCAACCATTCCAATCAAACATGTTCACCAAACAAACCAACCATTCCAATAAAAAATGTTCACCAAACAAACCAACCATTCCAATCAAACATGTTCACTAAACAAACCAACCATTCCAATAAAACATGTACACTAAACAAACCAATCATTCCAATAAAACATGTTCACTAAACAAACCAACCATTCCAATAAAACATGTTCACTAAACAAACCAACCATTCCAATCAAACATGTTCACTAAACAAACCAACCATTCCAATAAAACATGTTCACCAAACAAACCAACCATTCCAATAAAACATGTTCACTAAAACAAACCAATCATTCCAATAAAACATGTTCACTAAACAAACCAACCATTCCAATAAAACATGTTCACTAAACAAACCAACCATTCCAATAAAACATGTTCACCAAACAAACCAATCATTCCAATAAAACATGTTCACTAAACAAACCAACCATCCCAATCAAACATGTTCACTAAAAAAACAACCATTCCAATAAAACATGTTCACTAAACAAACCAACCATTCCAATAAAACATGTTATCTAAACAAACCAATCATTCCAATCAAACATGTTCACTAAACAAACCAACCATTCCAATAAAACATGTTCACTAAACAAACCAACCATTCCAATAAAACATGTTCACTAAACAAACCAACCATTCCAATCAAACATGTTCACCAAACAAACAAACCATTCCAATAAAACATGTTCACTAAACAAACCAACCATTACAATAAAACATGTTCACTAAACAAGCCAACCATTCCAATAAAACATGTTCACTAAACAAACCAACTATTCCAAAAAATTAAAAAAAGAGCACTTTATGAAACTTTTGGTTATCTAAGTCTTGCCTAGAGGAACCAAGTGGCTCTTTCATCTTGTAATAAGTGAGGCAGTGTGTGGTCTTGCCTAGAGGATTTGGTGATAAGTGAGACAGTGTGTTGTCTTGCCTGGAGGAATCAGGTGGCTCTTCATCTTGTGATAAGTGAGGCAGTGTGTGGTCTTGCCAAGAGGACCTGGTGATAAGTAAGGCAGTGTGTGGTCTTGCCAAGAGGACCTGGTGATAAGTGAGGCAGTGTGTGGTCTTGCCAAGAGGACCTGGTGATAAGTAAGGCAGTGTGTGGTCCTGCCAAGAGGACCTGGTGATAAGTGAGGCAGTGTGTGATCTTGCCAAGAGGACCTGGTGATAAGTAAGGCAGTGTGTGGTCTTGCCAAGAGGACCTGGTGATAAGTAAGGCAGTGTGTGGTCTTGCCAAGAGGACCTGGTGATAAGTGAGGCAGTGTGTGGTCTTGCCAAGAGGACCTGGTGATAAGTGAGGCAGTGTGTGGTCTTGCCAAGAGGACCTGGTGATAAGTGAGGCAGTGTGTGGTCTTGCCAAGAGGACCTGGTGATAAGTGAGGCAGTGTGTGGTCTTGCCAAGAGGACCTGGTGATAAGTAAGGCAGTGTGTGGTCTTGCCAAGAGGACCTGGTGATAAGTAAGGCAGTGTGTGGTCCTGCCAAGAGGACCTGGTGATAAGTGAGGCAGTGTGTGGTCCTGCCAAGAGGACCTGGTGATAAGTAAGGCAGTGTGTGGTCTTTCGCTTTTATAATTAGGTTAGGTTTATGGTTAAGGAGTGAGATTATCAACATCTGATTTTGGAATCACTCAGCCTGAACCCAATTCCAGCCTGGAACTTTGAATCACTCATAGGGGCAAACTTGCGAGACTCAGGACATTCATATTATATGGTACCAATTGACATTCATGTGATGTCAGTGGACATTCATGTGATATCAGTGGACATTTATGTCATTTGTTGCCACTGAACATGCATGTCATTTTGGTCCACCCTGCTTTGCACTAACCCTAGCAAGGCCACTGGCCATGTCATTTTGGTCCACCCTGCTTTGCACTAACCCTTGCAAGGCCACTGGCCATGTCATTTTGGTCAACCCTGCTTTGCACCAACCCTAGCAAGGCCACTGGCCATGTCATTTTGGTCCACCCTTCTTGCACTAACCCTTGCAAGGCCACTGGCCATGTCATTTTGGTCAACCCTGCTTTGCACTAACCCTAGCAAGGCCACTGGCCATGTCATTTTGGTCAACCCTGCTTTGCACTAACCCTTGCAAGGCCACTGGCCATGTCATTGAAACATTAGTTCTTTATTGTTACTATTCTTGAAGTGATACAAGACAGGACAATGTTTAGGTAAATGTCATGAAGATGTTGTCTGAATCTGATGGTTATCCTCCAGTTCAAATGATTGGGTATGGATAGTACAACTAGTGCGGAAGAAACTATCATGTGCCCTGGGGGAGTTTTAATGGCATAATGTCAAGTCTTACAAATGACAATGCCCTAAAATGTTAAGTTTTTGAGGGTTTCAAGACCTTGACTTTTACAGCTGGTAAAACATCTACTAAAATAATCATGCACATTTTCAACAAGGTCAGTTGACTAGGAAAAATATAAAGATTCTTCTTTCTGACCACTCCCTTCCATTTGAAATGTAAGAAGGAAATGTAAGAATGAAATGTAAGGTCTCTATTTGTCTTAGCCCAGGGTTTGGCAACCTTGTTTTAATGAAGAGCCTTATTTATAATATTTTATATTTTACGAAATAATTATGAAAGCCACAAGCATTATAACAGAATGTATTTCTTGAAAGAGCCAGAAGCAGCTCCATCGCTGACCATTTTTGGCTGGGATGTGCATCTCCACTGTCCTAACCATTATTGGCTGGGATGTACAGCTCCATTGCTGACCACCTGTCCTAACCATTATTGGCTGGGATGTGCAGCTCCATCGCTGACCACTGCCCTAACCATTATTGGCCGGGATGTGCAGCTCCATTGCTGACCACTGCCCTAACCATTATTGGCTGGGATGTACAGCTCCATCGGTGACCACTGTTCTAACCATTACTGGCTGGGATGTGCAGCTCCATTGCTGACCACTGCCCTAACCATTATTGGCTGGGATGTGCAGCTCCATTGCTGACCACCTGTCCTAACCATTATTGGCTGGGATGTGCAGCTCCATCGCTGACCACTGTCCTAACCATTATTGGCTGGGATGTGCAGCTCCATCGCTGACCACTGTCCTAACCATTATTGGCTGGGATGTGCAGCTCCATCGCTGACCACTGCCCTAACCATTATTGGCTGGGATGTGCAGCTCCATCGCTGATCACTGTCCTAACCATTATTGGCTGGGATGTGCAGCTCCATCGCTGACCACTGCCCTAACCATTATTGGCTGGGATGTGCAGCTCCATCGCTGACCACTGTCCTAACCATTATTGGCTGGGATGTACAGCTCCATCGCTGACCACTGCCCTAACCATTATTGGCTGGGATGTGTGAATTAATGCTTAAAATGTCTTAACCAAGCTAATGTGCCCCGTGGCCATCAGAGCAGCCACTGTAAATGACTATTTGTTTATTCCATGACATGTCTGGCCATCAGAGCAGCCACCGTAAATGACTATTTGTTTATTCCATGACATGATTGTTCAAAATATTAATGATATGTGATGTGCAGCTAAATTTGTCCTATGTTTATTTAACTTATCTAAGCAAACCTTACCAACTGATAAATACATCTATTAAAGGAGACATAGAATATTTGACCCCGGAAAAGCCTCCTACACTAAAGATGGTATAACTGCTTTCCTCCCTTTGGCATTTGGGGGAAGAATAGTTTAGTTTAGTTTTAGTTTAAAATATTTTTAAATATACTTAAATCTTTTTTCACCATATCTTATTGTATTTTTCAGTGTTGGTCAATCAGACTGTGTGGGAAGTGTTTTCCTTTTCAAGTGGAACTTTGACAAGCATTTCATTGGTCAGATATTTGGATGAACTTTGACAAGCATTGCATTGGTCAGATATTTGGATGAACTTTGACAAGCATTGCGTTGGTCAGATATTTGGATGAACTTTGACAAGCATTTCATTGGTCAGATATTTGGATGAACTTTGACAAGCATTTCATTGGTCAGATATTTGGATGAACTTTGACAAGCATTGCGTTGGTCAGATATTTGGATGAACTTTGACAAGCATTGCATTGGTCAGATATTTGGATAAACATTGACAAGCATTGGTCAGATATTTTGATTAGAGTTTGACAAAAATGTTTAAATATACATAAGAATATGTGGATCAAATATTTAAAGTTTAAACTTAAGATGCTAAAGGACTGCTGATTAGCAATAACAGCTTAAGAAATTCAAGGTCATTTGAACATATATGGTGATTAAGTCCCATTAAACCTCATTGTTAGACAATCAGAGCAGTGAGCCTACAACTAAATAGTTGGTGTTGACATGGTAAAAGTTTTTCACAAAGCAGCATTTGTTTGGCTTAGTAAGTTCATTTGAAAATACAGTAATGTGTCAAATGTTAGCCTGAATTCATTTGGTATTTCTTTGCCATATGGAGTATTCAGTCATGGACAACATCATGTTGCAATTTCAAGTACTGAGTCCTTTCACCAGGTCAAGGTAAAAGTCTAAGCAACTAAAACAAGTATTCGCCAAATAATTAAACTTCGTAGCCTTTATCATTATGAGCCAATAAAATGTTGACACCTGGGCTTAGAACAGGTGCTGCATCTAATACATATGTATCATATTATTGTTTATATATTACTGACCATCTGTGAAGGGAGTTATTACGTGGGACAAGGCATATATTCTCATCACATATGTTTATCACATATCATCACAGAAATAAAGGACCTCCATTCGTAATGGATTGAAATTAAAAATAGTGCACCTTAGAAAATAAATGATGTCAATTTACTGAAAAGTTGCAGGATCTTGTTGACATTGAACTCGCTGATGGAGCCATGATAGGGGCATGATAGTGCTGTGATAGCGCCGTGATAGCGCCATGATAGGGCCATGGCTGTGATAGCGCCGTGATAGGGCAATGATAGTGCCGTGATAGCGCCATGATAGTGCTGTGATAGCGCCATGATAGGGCCATGCTAGTGCTGTGATAGTGCCATGAGAAAACAAAGGGAAACAGTAGCTAAAGAGATACCGGTACAGCTATCAAATATCATTTGGTCCAAACTGTCCATTAACTACATTGGGATGAGAAAATGTTGCCTGCCTTAACTTCAAAGGAACTTGTTGATCGCTTTGCTGTTCTGTTGTCCGGAAAAATGAAGTTGTTGGGTGCCAAGTGGAAATGGACAACCCAAGGTGACTTCAGTGTTTGATTTTATACAGGAATGGAACCTTGCTGATTGCATTAAAAGGATATGCTTTAGCACTACATATAGCAACACTGGGGTTCCTGCTAGCACTACAGATAGCTACACTAGAGTTCATGCTAATGCTACAGCTAGCTATGCTGGAGTTCATGTTAGCATGACTGCCCACTGCCAGGTGAGGAATATGGATCTGGACATTGACCATCTCATTAGCTATAAGCAGACCAATGCTTACCATTGATTATGGAATTGGAAATCTCATTAGCATGAGCAGAGCTATGCTTACCATTGATTATGGAATTGGAAATCTCATTAGCATGAGCGGAGCTATGCTTACCATTGAATATGGAACTGGAAATTGACTATCTCATTAGCAATGAGCAAGCCAATGCTTACCATTGATTATGGAATTGGACATTGACCATCTCATTAGCAATAAGCGGACCTATGCTTACCATTGAATGTAGAACTGGACACTGACCATCTCATTAGCAATATTGAATAAGCTGACCCATGGTTACCATTAAAACACTAACAAGTTTTTGTTGATTATAATTGTTCTTCATTTAAAATATTGTTTTTTTGTTTTTTTTACAACAAATATGTGTGCAAAGGAATTTGTAGATATCTTTTAAAACCATATACAGGTCCCCCCCCCCCCCCCCTACAGTGTCGCTCTCTGTTTAAACTTTTTGAGGACCTCTAAGGTATTGCAAACTATTCCACAATTACTATGATGTGTTAAGTTGCTAGAGCTAAGCACGCCTCTTCATCCCTTGATAAAATGAAGGGTTCATAATTTGATTAACAATAAAACATTTACTACCGGATACTTAAAACATTTCAAGACAACACATTCATTTACATACATTTTTTTTCCAAAAACTTGTGACATGGACTGACCAAAGACATTGACCTAGTTCATATTGACTGGCCAAAGACATTGGCCTAGTTCATATGGACTGGCCAAAGACATTGACCTAGTTCATATGGACTGACCAAAGACATTGGCTTAGTTCATATGGACTGGCCAAAGACATTGACCTAGTTCATATGGACTAGCCAAAGACATTGGCCCAGTTCATATGGAATTACATAAGGCATTGACCTAGTTCATATGGACTGACAAAAGACATTGACCTAGTTCATATGGACTGACAAAAGACATTGACCTAGGTCATAAAAGACATGGGCCAAGATCAACAAACATGTGACATGGACTGATCAAAGACATTGACCTAGTTCATAAAACATATGACATGGACCAACCAGACATTGAACTAGTTCATGCAAACTGTTCTATTCATAGCATTTATTGAATAAAACTATTTTAATCCAAAAAATGAAAAGTGCAGCAAAAGAGAGACTGAATGTTGTATGATCAAAATAAGATGACGTTGTCTCAGAGAAATGCCTAAATGTAAGGTACATCCTATCAGTTGGCACACAGAAATGTCAAAATTTAAGGTATATTCTATCAGTCATCACGTTGTGTTTCAATTAGTTGTTTATTTCAGCAGTTAGTTTCAACTTTTTACATGCAACAATTGTTGGTTTTTAAATCCAATTTAGTCCTTGGTCAATTTGTTCAAGATGTTTTAAAAAGTCTGTGCAAATCAAACAACTGCAAGTCATCTTTTACTATATCCAATTCAGTCCTTGGTCAATTTGTTCAAGATGTGTTCAATCAAACAATTGCAAGTCATCTTTTACTATACCCTGTAAGGTAAGTGCTAGACAAAAATGCCTCGATAAATAAATAAATAATATCATCAGTGAACTTAAATTAATTTTAAAGATTTTTATCATGTACTCTGCGTCCATAGAAAGGGTTCTTAACAATTTATCACTGAAGTAAACCTTCTTGATTTCTTAACATTTACTGTACCCTTCATAACACAAAAAGTTAATAAAAGTGTTACTTGACCTGATTTTTATGAGTCTTCTCGCATTATCTATTGACTTAAAAAATGCTGGGATCAATTAGGAAAAGTCACAACTTTCAAAATAGTGGAAATAACTGGTTTACAGGTGTTATTTTTGGTGTTGCAATGAGTGAGTTAAACACCCACACCCCCCCCCCCCACAGATAATGTTCAAATCTTCACAAAATTCTATTTTGCAAATACAATAGTTAAAAAGAATTATGTTGATTTTAGATATCTGCAACAAGCATCTATGATACACCTACACATTTTCCCAGGACTTATATACCTATACATTTTCCCAGTTACCCAAGAAGTTAAACAGAGTTTAAACTTATGATACAACTGCTTATATGCCTGTGTTTTATTTTCCTTAATATTTTACTTTAGGTTCAATGTCACTAATTTGTTTTCTTAGTTCTACAGTTCTCTTTGTAGTGTACAAAGCATTTGTATCATAAGTTTAAACTCTGTTCTTTTCCTCACACCACAGATTGGGAAACTTTGCTCTTATAACTTATAGCTCATACTTGTACACTGAGTTAATGTTAATGTATAAAATCTAATTCTACAAATAAAATCTATTTCTAAGTACACACTGAATTAGGACAAGTGGACTTGCACAATTCATTTATTTAGAGTTAGAGAAATTAGAGTTTTGTCATCATAATCAACAGAACTTATTTTATTCATAGATAAATGATGATATCTTTGTCATTCACTCAGAACCAGTAAACACATCAGTGTCTTTAACTCCCTCAGAAACAATAAAAACACCAGTTCTTTTAAGTCACTCACTCAGAAACAGTAAAAATACCAGTTCTTTTAAGACACTCGCTCAGAAACACTAAAAACACCAATTCTTTTAAGACACTCACTCAGAAACACTAAAATCACCAGTTCTTTTAAGACACTCGCTCAGAAACAGTAAAAACACCAGTTCTTTTAAGACACTCGCTCAGAAACAGTAAAAACACCAGTTCTTTTAAGACACTCACTCAGAAACACTAAAAACACCAGTTCTTTTAAGACACTCACTCAGAAACACTAAAATCACCAGTTCTTTTAAGACACTCGCTCAGAAACAGTAAAAACACCAGTTCTTTTAAGACACTCGCTCAGAAACAGTAAAAACACCAGTTCTTTTAAGACACTCACTCAGAAACACTAAAAACACCAGTTCTTTTAAGACACTCACTCAGAAACAGTGAAACACACTAGAGCCATTAACATACTCAGAAACAGTAAACACACCAGTTCTTTTAACACATATTCGGACACAGTAAACACACCAATGCCTCAAACACATTCACTTAAAACAGTAAACACACAAGTGCCATTAAATTAGCACACTCAGAAACAGTAAACACACCAGTGCCTTTAACACTCTCACACAGAAACTGTAAACACGCCAGCATTGCTTGTAAAGCAAATAAACTATGGTTGCTTGTAAAGCAAATAAACATCCTCAAACAATTTTATATTCAGTGTACAGATGTAGTCCTGTGACCTATGCATTAGATGACACAGACCTGTGCCCTATGCATTAGATGACACAGTCCTGTGACCTATGCATTAGATGACACATTCATGTGACCTATGCATTAGATGACACAGTCATGTGACCTATTCATTACATGGAACAAACAACATAGTGACTTTCAATACAGTCATGGTTACTTTAAAAATTTCAACAAATCTATTTGACAAATACTTTTTCACTTTTAATTCTAAAATTGATCATTCAAAATATATTTTTACTTAATGTAACAACAATGTAGAAACATGTTATCTTTGTCTAGCAGCTTTCTAGAATGGTGTCATCAAAGTTGATAGGTGTGCCCCAGGATTTTCAAATATAAATGAAGGAAGAAAAGTAAAAAATAGTATTTGTTTGCCATTTGAATATTACCTTTGGTCATTATTCTCACTGAGATTGCCTCATTTTGTGTTTTAATTTGAAAGATTTGTCACTGGACTTAACAAGTAACTAGTAAGGTAGTATATGGCACAATTTAAAAAATATAATTAAAAGGTGAAGACCATCTTACACAAATTACATTATTGTATTTATAAAAGGATTTATTCACTTAACTAAATCAAAATATAGCATCAAAATTAGCAGTACCTTAACAATGGCAATGTCATCAAGTTTAATAATGGCTCATTTCTAGTAAATATATGCACTGACTGTCAAATGATGCTATATGCAATAGCACTGTCAAATGATGCTTTTACAATTCAATATGAAACTGCCATTAAAAAAAGATCAGAATTGTTATCAAAGGATGAATTATGACTCAGCTGGATACAAAATGTTGTGGTGACACCGGTAATGTAAGCCGGGAACAATTACTATTAGTATTTAATAGTATTATGGTAGCCGGGAAAAATTACTATTAGTATTATGGTATTCTATACTTAATGCACTGGGCAAAAAGTATGTATTTTAATTTTATGCAAAGTCTTGAGAAACAAAAGCCAGAGTTTTGTGTATAATTTGTTTAAAAAGTAGCACAAGACAAGGACATGAAAAAATGCTTCTTTATTTTGGCCGTATTGAAAGGTCTCATGAATTGATCAAACAGTACATTCAGTACAATTCGATTTCCCCCAAATAAAATTGTGTTGACATTATTTTAGCTGGCATAATGCATCTACCAAGAAACAAACCCATCCTACGGCAACTCGTTGTGAGTCCAAGATTCTCACATTTGTTGACATAGACAAGTACAAACAAGTCACTTTGTTCATTGAACATTTAGACAAAACCATAAACAGCAACTGTAAATTTAAGACATGTTGCATTTGTCTCAATAGACATGAGGCATCTGTAACTATAAACAGGCTTCAGTGTCTATAGACAGCAAGCAACCGTGGTCTGAATCTCTACCATTGACTTATTTACTCATATCTAACCCTAACCTGGTAAGTTTTGAAACTGTTCACTTTGCACACAATTGCTCACTAAGTAACAGCAGAAAATGAGGATTCATAAAGGCGCAGTTTGAGAATCTCTGTTAAATCCAAATTCTCCAACAGGATTTTTCCAAAGTTTGATAAAAAAGATAAATAGTTTCCAGATCATATGAGGCACCGCTCAAAGTAAACATTTCCTATATGTCCTCCCCTCATTGACTTTGCCACATTTTGCTCAAATAGTCGTCTGTTGGTTTGTAGCACTTCAGCCGCCTCTTTGTTAAGTGGATCCTCTGGATTAGGCTCCTGGATGGAAATAAAAACAATTGTTTTACATGTTGTATACATCTAAGATATAAGTGATATTTATAGAGATTTAGTGTATTATAATATTTAATGGACATCTAGCAGATAGCATTAAGCAGAGAGAATTGCTTTGTCTATTTTTCAATTTTAAATTTAAAAGTAAATTTGTGGTCCAGCACACAAGACAGTTGCCACTACTGAACCTTTTGGTCACTAGGAGATATGGCCAGCACTGGATGATATGGCCAGCACTGAGTGATATGGCCAACACTAGATGATATGGCCCGCACTGAGTGATATGGCCAGCACTGAGTGATATGGCCAGCACTGAGTGATATGGCCAACACTGGATGATATGGCCAACACTGAGTGATATGGCCAACACTGGATTATATGACCAGCACTGAGTGATATGGCCAGCACTGAGTGATATGGCCAACACTGGATGATATGGCCAGTACAGTGATATGGCCAACACTGGATGATATGGCAAACACTGGAT